CAGATCAGGGGTTGAGTGGCATTTGATGGATGAGCAAGAATAGAAACAGATAAAATTCTATGGAGCCAATTCAGCATTCCTTTGAAAGCTCGACTTTGGATATCTTCTGTATATATTCTTCAGTATTGCTTTAGTGGCAAGTGTCAAAAAAAAAATACAACCAAAAAAATCCAACTCAAGCTATCTTATCAAGAAAGGAAGAGGAGTTTGATGTCATCACTGCCACTTCTAAAGGCTGATGACATGTTAGATTCAGTGACTCAAATGATGAACTCACGACTACTTCTCTTCCTCTGAACTTTTTTTTCCTCTCTGCATTGGTTTCTTTCTGGGTCAGACTCTTTGTCACATGATAGGAAAATGGCCACCAACAGCTTCGGTCTGTGTCTACAGTGATATTTTAAAGAAACCATTCTTCCTGGCTGTTTGGGTCATGGACCTATCCCTGAACCTGTCTCTATAGTTTGAAAGATGAACGACTTTGGCTGGACAGCTCAGGTCACACCCTGTGTCTGTTATTTGGGGGTTGTTGTGACCACAGTCCCTCAAGGAAACAGTGTGAGGGAGGAGAGATTTGTTTCAGCTCATGGCTTCAGAGAGTTTCCGTACTTCGTGGCAGCAATGGTGTGTGAGAGAGCCTGTTCACAGCAAAACAGCTCTGGAAACTGTGAGACAGGAAGCAGGCAGGGATAACACTCTCCCAAGGATTCCTTCCCAGTGACTTCCTCCAGCTAACCCCAAAATAGCACGACCAGCTGGAGACTAATTCCTGGTTCTCCTCTGTGAACTTTGAAAATCAAGACTCACTTTACTCTGGCCAATGAAATGAAGTGAAAGTGATGCGCTCCAAGAAGGATGGCTGAGCTGCTGGTGCCTAGTCCTCTCTCTCCTCTCTGTTATTTCGGCCTTGCTGACGATAAGGTACAATACCAAGCCTCACCTATACAATAGCTGCCCTGGGCAATCCTCTAGATCCATAGTTGTCTTGTGTGAGGGTTGTGTAACAGCTTCCTCCCAGATCCAAACATTGCATCTTGCTCCTTACTGCTTAAGGAAGGTGAACAACTCAAAGGAGCTTCAAGAAGTTCCTGAGAGCAGCCAGATTCACTAGGTTCCTCCCTGCCAGAGGTAAGAAATGCAGGCCCTCTGAGAAGAGCAGAGCAGGGCTGCAAAGAAGACTCTTGAGGCCACACCAGCTGCCTGGAAGAAGCAGAAACTAGCCGAGCTGCCTGGAAGAGGTTTGGATGGAGTGAAACACCTGACAGGACCCTTCCCAACCTGTTGAGCTGCCTTCAGGCTGTACAGTGTGCTCCAGGTACCACGCTGGGGTAGGCTTTGTGGTGATGCCGCTGTCTTTGAGTCATTCTGCTCCTGTAAGTAACCTCAATAAAACTCAGGGTTCACCAAATTGGACTTTGGTGGTATCCATACTTTGGTCTGTTATAGGTTTCCTACCTGGGGTTGGTAGATGTGTAATGCTGCATCTTCTCGGGAAAATTTTTGTCACACAACTGTAAGGAGTAACTGTTCCTGTGTTAAGTCAGCAGACTCAGGGATGCCTGCTTCTTCCATAACTAGCCATCTTTCACTCCTGTGTGTATACCCAAAGTTGCCTAGCTTTGAGTTTGGTTGTGAGCTTTGGGCTTTAATGGCTGGGTCATCTGTCTAGCCTTTGGCTTTGCTGCTGTTTTGTTTTGTCTTGTCTTGTTTTTTTTTCGAGGCAGGGTTTCTCTGTGTTGCCCTGGATGTCCTGGAACTCCATCTATAGACCAGGGTGCCCTTGAACTCACAAGAGGTCCAACTGCCTCTCTCTGCCAAGGGCTGAGATTTAAAGGCGTGCACCATCAGCCAGGCTTGGCTTGGCTTCTTAAAGAGAAGGTAGAAACACAGAGTTTGAGTGAAATGTTTGGTACACAGAGAAGAGGATGAGAAAAAGGAGACAGAGGGAGGAAGGGAGGAACAGAAAGGAGAGGTTTAACTCGAGGGAGGTTTAACTGAGGAAAGAATGCCTACCTGGAGTTGGGTGGCACCGTGCCAGGCCCAGGGTTCTGGATAAAATAAAAACAAAACCAGGGGCAAGCAAGCCAGGTGCAGCATGGCGCTGCTCCCCGATTCCTGATGTGCCTAGATAATGACCACGACTCTGTTGCCACCGTACCCTCCCCGCCACCCCTGAGCCATGAGGCAGAAGAAACCTTTCCATCCTGATAAGTTATTTGATCACAGCAACGACAAAATTAGGTGGTATAAAGGCTGCTGCAGGAGCCTGTCCGCTGATCCCATGATCCCTGGCTTGCGGTGGTTTGATACACCCTCTTTCAGCTTTACGGGGGTGCTAACACGCCTTCCCACAGCCATCCTGTCCTCCTCTTTCAGTCCAGCGGTGGGTAAAGTTCGTGAGATCTGAGCACATGGGGTGAGTTTTGCGTTAGGAGCCTTTGCCCAAGCGTGGGCCAACATAGGTGTTTTGAGCAAAGCCGAAGAAGCCCTCGTGTTTTGTAAGCTAGAAGAATTAATGACTTAGGGAATGTTCAGCTCTAGGTGGGTTCGCCCCGGCATAACTCCATCGTCTGTGAAGAAGCACCAGAGGTTTGTACTGCTGAACGGAGACGGGAGCAGGGGTCCTGCCTGGGCTCCTACGGTGCTCACGGTCCAGGTCACGTAATTACTTCTCAGCTACACTCGACCTTGCTGCTCGTTTTCTGCTTTTTGCTCCTTTTTCCTAGCTAGGCGGAAGGCAGGGACAGGTGAGGAGCCACGTCTTTGTGCATGTCACAGGTTACAGGCATACAAGAGATTTTCAGTAAATACTGGATGTGGAGACGAGCCGATCGGTTGATTAGTCACAACTATCGCTTCCTCTTTGAATACTGGAGGACAGTTCTGGGAAACGGTTTCACCTCATCAATTCACTTTTTTTTTTCCTCTGCAAGGAGCTCGAGCTTCATCAGTGTCCACTAATCTTTAAAACGGTGTTTATTTATTTATTTATTTATTTATTTATTTAGCTAGGGCCTCATGTGTAGCAGGTTGACCTGAAACTCACTGTGTGATGGAGGATGAACTTGAACTCTAGATCCTCCTGTCGTTCCCCCCCCCCCCGCCACCGAAACACTGAGCTGTAGGTGTGCTTCACTGTGCCAAATGTATGCTGGTGCTGAGGACTGTGCGTGCTAGGCAGCAGCCTGCTATCGGGGCCTTATCCCCACCCCGACACTAGCTCCGTGGATGAGAACGTTAGTGGTAACCCATAGGAAATGCAAACCCAAGCTAGTGCAGACGAGACACAGTTTACAGATTCCCGTAAATGGAACCTCCAGAGTTAGGGGTGACAGCGGGCCCGGCTGGATGCAGGGATTTAGTGTCCCCAGCGCGCCGTCGTCACTCCCGTGGTGGCTTGGCTTCTCTACACTGTCCTTTGGCACTAGAGTTATTCCCAGGAAACTCCTTTGCTGAGTGGCGCCTACCAGTTTCAGGCCAGCTTCCGGCAGCCTCTTCCTGGCCAACCCTGAAAACTCCTAGTTCCACCGACCTTATCTGGGGTATGTGATTATCTCTAAATCAGCCCACCAGCCACGGAACTGCACCTTTACTGGGACTTTTTTTTTCTCTCTCTCAAGAGGCAGGACACCTAAATTCAGACTGCCTTAGGCTAGACCACTGTTTCCCTAAAAGCCTGAGGTAGATCAGTTTCATCAGGTCTCTGCACAAAGGAGCCAGCCATGGCCTTTCCCTCCAGCCTCTCCCAGAGGCAATGACCACACAGAGGGTGATAGGACACAGTGTGGCTAGAAGGGGGGTCTTGGGCTGTTATTTGTAGAGCATCCTATATAAAACTGGAGAACAGCTCTATCAAAAAGGGGAAGCCTAGTGGATCTCATGGGGAGATGAAAGGAAATCAAGAGCCCTTAGTGCCCCCCCCCATGCCTTCCCTGTAGCATGTTTAATTCGTGGAGGAAGTAAAGGCCCGGGTAGGTCTTCCAGTCACCCTGCCACCATCCCAAGTAGACTCCGGAGAGGACCGGCTTCAACCACACACGTTTAATTATTAGTCCCTGCCTGGAGATCAGGTTAGCTTTTTCAAAGTCCCAACAGAGGACGCATAAAGTAATGTTTTCCTTCACATAAATGTCCAGACCCTCATCTTGGGGGAGAAACATCAAGCCGGTTTCACGGGTCCCCAGCTTTGATCTTTGCGGCCCGTAGTAAAGGTGTTGCCGGCCATTTGGGGGATGGAGAGTCATGTCCTTCGACAACACTCTGTGCTCCTCTGGGGCGTACTTTCTTTTTTTTTTTTTTTTTGCATCCGCCTTGTGAGGGAAGTTGCTGGTGGCGACTGCGAAGACGGGACAGGTGATGTCACTGGGACTTGATCTGCCTCTTTCCATTCAGCCTGTTCTCCTCCTCTGCAGGAAGACTTGCAGGGAACTTGGGGAGCGATGGCTCCCCGCAAGCAGGCAGATAGAGACCTGCTTGTCCGGCTTGGCGCTTGTGCCTCCTTCCCAACGTGCTGGTCTTTCGCTCTCAGCGTGTGTAGTGTACTCTACGAAGGCATGCACTTTTTCTTTCACTTCCCGTCTTCACTGAGTGAAGACCTGCCATCTCCCTGAGAAGGGGGCCGGAGGTCACTGAGTGTCAACATTGCCACGCCTTCTCCGGCTTCAGGAGAAAGGCACGGAGGCTGTGCTGGTCACCCAAGGGTCTGACGTTTCTGCCTGAGGGTTCTGTGTACCGGCCTTCGAAGGACCATCACATCTTCTCGGAAGCGTCCTTCACCCGTCTACCTCTGGAGGAGACGGGGAGGAGGGCGTGGAAGCTGGCCCTTGGGAGCCCCTGAGGAAGAAAGCCGTTGGAGGACTCGCAGAAGTCAGGTTGGCTCACTGCTGCGTCCTGTCAAAGGGAGGCAAAAGCCTGCTGGAGGTGGGCCAAGAGCCCTGGCTCAAACTGGGGCCAGCCACCGAGACAGCAGCTGCGGCTCCGGTGCTGGGTCTCACCGCAGGGCTGCAGGACCTTTGGTGGCGCTCTGGTGGACAGTGGGTCAGGACGGAGTGCTCCCAACCTCCTTAAACCCCCGCCCATGCTCCCTCACGGGAAATCAGAGCAGGCTGGCGAGACGCCGCTGCAGCGTCCGAAGGAGACACCGCCGCGCCGAACGCCACCCTCGCCCAGGGTTCCGCGGAGCGCGCAGCGGAGGCAGGAGGATGGTTCGGCGCGGGCTGAGCTGGAAGGGCTTCCCTGCCTGTCCGGCCGCCTTCGCCTCGCTGCCTCCCCCGCTGCGTAACGTTGTGTTCGGGGTGGCGGCGGCGAGGCCGAGCGGGGGATGCGCTTACATAAGCGCCCGCCGCGTCCTGCTGCCTCTCGCTCTCGGGAGCCGCGGGCGGGGCCGCGATGCCGCCGGGAGCAGCGGCGCCGAGGGGACCCGGCCGGCCCGGCAGGCGGAGGAGGGCGCCGCCCGCGGCGGAGGTGAAGGTCAGTGGGTGTGAAGCGCGCGATCCACACCCCCCTCCTCCCCGTCCCCTCCTCCTCCTCTTCCTCTCCGTCCCCCCCTCCCCACTCTGACGTGTGGAGCTGGCAGCTCGGCCGGTTCCGCATTCCCGACCCCTCCCCGCCACTCTGGGCCCCGCTATATAACCGGGGCTGATGCAACCCGTCCCGCCGCCCGCCACAGCCTGCGGGAGGGACGCTCGGCGGCCGCGACGGGGGTCGCTGGC